ACTTTAAAAAAAAAAAAAAAAAATCTATGTGAAGTACATTCATTAATTGGGAGTAGTAACGGTTGTCCCCATTTTTTGCACAAAATCAACACACTGAAACACAGATTGTGATCACTGTCTTTGAAGTTTCCAAAGCTGTCCATGTTTTGAAGGCTTAAAGATATTCCCAAAGAGACCATACACAGATTGTTTGTTGTTACTCATGAAGAGAGGCCATCATCCATTTTTTTGCCCTTTTCTCTGTGACGATGTCTCTTATCTCCCTGTGGTTTTAATTCATGTAACTCTCGCCATTTCACCTCTAAATCCTTTCCTTTCTGGTCTTTGCAATTTCCTCTTCACTTTTTTTTTCTTACCCTTTGTGTGTGTGCGTGCTATTTGTCTTCCCCCACTCAAAATCCACTGATTTTCCCTACCCTTCAATTTACATGCTTTCCCTAAATTCCAGCCTCCCGAAACTTTCTTGTTCCCCCTTTCTAGTCTGTTCTTTGCTTTACAGACTATTTTAGCACTGTTTGTTGCTGGAGCTTCCACGGCCTTTTTAGATTTCTTGAATTTATTTCCACTCTCTGACCAGCCCTGTCAACCCATCAATCCTACAGCTCATTGCACTGTGAGCACTTGCATTGCAACAAATACCTCATCGCTTGAAATCCATTTCTCCAACTAATGCCTTCTGTTGGATAGCAGTGCACCTGCATTCTTCTTGTGACTTTCCATCTTTTAGATTCCTCCAGGCTCATTTATTCTCTGTCCAACAAGCATTTCTTCTAATGAATAAATTCTCAGAGCTTCAACATTTCACTGTGTTTCTGTTATCCTTGGTTTGGTCTCAGATGCACTGCCCTTTTTGTGCCAACTGATGTCAACCAAAATCTCCCCCCTTTCCATGTCCATTTCAGTGCCATGAGCAATTGTGATGAAAAGAGTGGAGAATAGTTTCCTCCACATCTGCCCACTTGGGCTTCCTTCCTTGCTGCATGTAACCTCGCCATGGAAAAGATGCACCAGCACTCAATGTCACACTGATGGGTTTTCCCACCCCACATGCAGCACAGGAGAGAAATGAGCACTGCCCTCTTCCCTTTCCTCACTCCACACCACTGGCTTCATCTTCATCCCCTCCTTGGGTAGATTCACTGAGGGCTTTGACATTACACCTGGGGACCTGGACCTCCCCAACGCTCACCAAGCAAACAAGAGTGTCTGCCTCTTCTCAATAAGGGCCAAGAATGAGAATAGCAAGGGTATTTCAGGTCAGGCCTGAGGCAAATTATAAGACAAGTTACAAAGCTCACACAACATGTGGCCACATTATGTGTGGCTCCAGTCAGCACTAACAGCCTTCATTGAGCTCCATGTTTAAACAATTTAAGCAAACAGGAAATACAGAAGATAGGAGTGGGGAAAAAGCCTTCGAGGAATTGGAGAGGTCAAACTGCTTGGTATACTTGGTAAGCAAACACTGCAGCAGTGAGGAGGGCAGAGTACCCACGGGATAGACAGAGATGTGCCCAACTTCCTACTGTGCAAAATCAAATGAACATAAATAAGTAATCCCATTTTAAAAAGTCACTCGGCCAGCAATTTTCAGAGCTGCATAGGAAACTGACTGCTGGTTTAGGCTGTGCTTGATCATGTGAATTATTTGGGAGAAGAAAAACATGGTTTTGGTTTAGCAATGAGGAAACAAAAATGGGGGGGAAAGGAGGAAAAAGAAAAACAAGTCTTAGTAGCAACAAAGTAAAATTCAACCACACCAATATAAATAACTTCGATACCAGTGTTGGGAAGTAAATATAAAAACATTTTAAAATAGAACTTAGAAACCATATTGTATTGTTTAGCATGAAAATAATAGGCTTTCAAGGCAGTACTATTAGAGAATGTATTTAATCCAGAGCAGAATTGGCTATGAAACCGTCCACTCTACCATGGGAATGCTTAGCTCAGTATCTGGTAGGTTGCCAGCCATTTAAAATGTTTTTGTGTTGGTTTAATGATTGTTCCCATGAGCACTGATGGTAAGGGTTGACATTAATTAAAATACTAAGTCATCAGAGCTTGCATTGTGGGGAAAGGGAGAATGGGCTGGATCCGATTGTCTTCAAGGTTTCTTTGGCCTTCCACTTTTTTTTTTTTCTTCTTAGATGCATCATACATGCCAAGTATCCTCTTAGCTGAGGTATAACAATGTAAACAGACTGTCTCTGCAAATATAATCTTTTTAGGTTTTCCACACACTCGTTTAACTGACTAGAGGACACTCATTAAAATCAGCTAATCATGTAATGTGGCTGTGTTCTGAATGCTAAACAAAATGCCTAAATGAAAGAGGATTTTAAAACATTGTCTGCCTCTCTTAATTTATTTCTACTGTATATTCAATGGCACACAATACAGTAGGAATGCTGGGCCCTATCCTCATTAACCTCAAAACTCATTATCTCATATAAAATCCAGCCTTTTACATAACGTGTATTGGAAAAGCTATGGAAAAGGATAAGAAAGACAATGTCTTTAGGGATAGATTCTTGGAACACTACAAAGGATTTTACTTAGAACTGTGACGCTAATAAAGAAAAGCAGAAAATTGCGAGTACGGTGCTATGCTGAAACAACACTTGCAGAATTTGGATACAGTAGCTATCATTATGTCTTTCACTGTCATTTCATTAACTCTCCAAGATCGCCAAGAGAGGTTGGGGATGCCCCATCCCCGGAGGCATTCAAGGCCAGGCTGGATGTGGCTCTGGGCAGCCTGGTGTGGTGGTTGGCGACCCTGCTCATAGCAGAGGGTTGAAACTGGATGATCATTGTGGTTCTTTTCAACTCAAGCCATCCTGTGATTCTATGATCCAGATCTTCATGGGCACACAAGCAAGAACTCATTTAATACATAGAGTTCTCTAAAGGCCAAACATAAGAGTCAAGGCTGCACTTTTCTGCTACCACCACCTAGCCAGTGAATCAGCAGAGAAGCACAACCCAAATGAGGTGTTGAAATCAGCTACCATCCCAACTCTGGTACTGGCACAAGGGATGGGGCTTCCTGTGACACTGGGATGCTGTGCAGTAGAGTCCTTACCTCTAAAGACCAGCAGCTCAGCCACCATTGCTTTGGCAAACACAGGCGTTGCTCAGCCGAGGCCCTTCACGCAGCCGTGTCACCCTGACATCGGGTGGGGCTGAGGTCACCACAGGCTGGAGATTCATGCTGGGATGGGATGGGCGTACTTGTTGGCTTTTGGATGTGAATCTTCAGCCTCCTCCTATACAAAACGACCAGGTCTTTGAGTCCCCTCCATGTAACATGGAAGAAGGAGAGCATTTGAGGAGGCCTCGTCCATGCACACAGGGGCGGTAGGTCCGATGCCCTCCTGGCGCTGCTCTCCAGCAGAACCACCTCTGAGCATGAAGGAAGCTAGTCATTGGGAAGGGAGAACGGCTTGCTTTTGCTTTTGTTGAAAACCGTTTTTTGCAAAGCTCTGGGAGAGACTCGTCCCACGTGCGATTCCCTACTCCCCTTCCCCTCGCTCTGGGTGCAGAGCTAGAGAAGCCCTCAGCGCTTCCGCAGGGCCGGGGCCCCGTTCCCCATCGGCGGGGCGCCGGGAAGGGGCCGGGGGGCCCCGCTTTGTGGCCGCCCGCCGGCCCCGCCGTGGTCGGAAGCGCCAGCGTAATCCGGGGAGCCCTCCGCAGAGAGTGGGTGGTCCGCGGGGACGAGGCACGGGCTCGGCGCTGCCCGGCCGCTGGCCTGAGCCAGCTCCTGCAGCTGGGCCGAAGGCGGCCGCAGAGCGCTCTCGGCACATTTCTTCATTTCTCACTTGAGTGCCCTTCTTTAGTTCCCTTTCAACTGCCCACTTTATATCGGCTTCATTACACCACCGCTCCATTTGTAATGTAAATCGGGAAACTCGGGGAAGTTTTTCTTTTGGCCTTGTCTACGGAAGAATACCGAGAGGTATTCAAAACGTATTAACACAAATCAATGGCACCAATAAAAGCAAAATCTCCTTAGCAACATAATCTTGATTGCAAAAGGAGAACTGAGAGCATTTAGCAGAACAGTGGCCCACATGGAATACGCATTTGTCTAGAAGAATGCAGCACAAAGCCTAAAAGAGAGATGCTGAAAAAATCCAAAATTAACTCACACCGAACAGTTACTCTTTTTTTCAAAAGTACACAATTGGCTACATTAAATCTACCGTGCGCTTTTCTGCTCAGCAACATTGTATCATACCGCTTTGCAAGGCGAAATTACAACACGGAATGCTTCACAGCCCCTGGCCGAGCACCCTCCCGCACGCACTCGGTCTGATGCGCGCTGCGTTGGCGCACACACGCAGATAAATCATACACACACATATCACACACGCACCGTACGAGGAAGGTGCTAAGATTTCTACACTCGAATAACCCAAGAGCTGTAAAGCATTCCATATGCAGGAGGAAAAGCTAGCTCCTTATGTACCACACCAAGCCCCACGGCCCCGAGAGCACAGGATGCCTTCTGTTCGCTGGGTTCAGGTCTGCCTGCATCTCATGTCGGAGCCCCTACGCATACTGGAATTGCACGAATGGAGTGATTCCCTTGTGAATAAACGGTGTCTGCCTTAACGAGATGTGAAGTGCATAAGGAGAAAACTAGCACATTAAAGGTGTGCAAACGGCTTCAACATTATCACCCAACCATAACGGTAACATACACAACTGAGCTTACCGGCATTAGGACCTGAAAAGCTTGAGCAACTCCAAACGCAGACTTGATGCTAGCCTGACAATTTTAAGACAGGCAATTCCTCTAAGTTTGGTGACTCTTGGACTAGAGTTAAATTACTGTTTTCCTTTCCTCTTCCCCCACCCCTGCAGTCCAACCAAACATTGACTAGAAATGAGGAGAGAACGTTGTGTAAATTTGAGGTATTTCATTCTTTTTTCTTATTCTTTCCCCTCCACCCCAAAAACTACATAGGCAAAAAATAGTAAGGCTTAGCAGATAAGTTAACAAACATTTTATTAGTTTGTAATACAGACAACAACGCTTTAAAAAAATCATATTGGAGTCCATTCCAATTCTGGGTCAGGTCAGGAAAAACAATGCTGATGTATTAAATAATATTCTATAATTCAACAATAGATTAACTTCAGTAATTTAGCAGTTGTGGTTAAATATTCTTAAATACGTGTATTTACAATTGTGCAGCCTTAAAAAGAAGTCCCGTTCTTTCTGTCTTCTCTCCCCAAAGCCCATGCCCTGTGAACACAGTGCTGGCCTCTGAATTTTAACAACTCTCATCCAGACTTAAATATTTGAAGAGGAATGTTACAAACGCAAAAATCAGAGCAACCCTATCTTCCTAAACTCTTCATTAAAGGGAATCCTCTGCAGGCTTTATCATCGAGTCCATATAAATAGCAGCTTCTTAATATCCAGTTCTATGTTAAATTATTGCTTATGCTTTTTCTGCTTCGTAGATCTAGCATAGATGCAAAATATTTATTTAGAAGTTTGCCATCTTGAAAGCTACCCCCCCTTAAGTGACTCACTTTCTGCTACTGCTTTTTATGTTTAAGAAGTTCTTCCTAAGCAAAGTCTGCAACCTTTTAAAACAAAATGAATTACATAGGGCTAGCACACAACATTTAGGCACCATTTTCTAGTTTATTATTCTTTTTATATTTGGAATTAGTCGCATATTCTCTTTGCCACATTCAGTCTCATATAGAAAGAATCACTTTCCAAATCTCTAAGTGCCCTGCATTTGTTGTTACCCCACTGAACCAAACCACTCATGGGCAAAACTACCACACAGTTAACACACAGAATATCCCAACAAGTTAGAAAGCCTGTTGCAAGCACAGAGGAGCAGAGAGATTTACAGTTGATGAGTGAGATGTGTGCACTGGTACAGTTAAATCAGTTTAAACAGAGCCACTAAAAATATCAGTTATATTGCATCTGGATATCTGACTCCTGTTTTGTTCAATTTCTAAGCGTGACCATAAAAAATGGATTCACAAACCTAAAGCACTGTAACAGAAAAAATCATCAGCTAATTACTATGTCTAGTTTCCAGCATGAGACAAAGAAACTATCAGTGATGTAAACGAGGAGAAAAAGCATGTTTCAGCAAAGCATTTAAGATCCGCTCTCCAAAAATGAGGATTTGTTAATGGCTCCCTTCTCCATAGAACTGAAAACTAACTACAAAGATCTCTTTTAGTTACCTGAACCTAAGCTATCCTAACTGGATGCCACCCCTGGCACTCGGATATACAGTCACATGACAGGAGCTGCCTGGGCAAGAAAAGAATTTTCTTTGGGAACAATCAGCCGTGCATTACAGGCCCCAGCCTAGGGAAAGACTGGTCTGCAATCTGTGCAGCTCTCACCAGTGATTCCTTTTTGGTCTGGATATTTTCAACTGAAAGATGCTGAGTTACAAAGTACACTTGTCTCCCTATCTGCATAACAGCACACTTGTTATAAAAAAACTACAGTAGAAATGAAGACACTTCATATGATTATTGAAATGGACTGTTAGCCTTTACTTAACTTTCATTATTTAATATCATTTCATACGGTTCAAAACTGTTTTCCAATACACACAAATTTCAAACCTAAACCTCGAGTTCAGTCTTTCATGTGTTGCTTCTTCTAATTTCCGTGTTTCATTAAATTTCCCCTAATGGTCTGCTGTATTTTCAAGAGCCAAGCATTTATTAATCTCTTTCAAGATAATAAATCTTAATGAAATATTAATGAGCTAATTGAAGCAGAAGAATTTTAAATAAATTCAACATTCAGTTAATAAGAGATGTTCTACCCAAATGCCACGTGGTGGAGATGCACACATCAGAACAAGTCAAGAAACAGTTTCATACAAGGACTCCTTTTTAAAAATTTGCAAAAAATCATTGCTAATTCAGCCCATGCTGACTGAAACACCATTGTGAAATAAGTTTTAAAAAAATTCATCAACTACGAAACACTGTTAGCAACAGAACAACCTGAACGGATATCTGTAACGAATCTGTAATGAAGAACAACTGCAGGATGGTTTTGGTTGTGGTTTTTTTCTTTTTTTTTTTTTTTCTTTTTTTTGTTTTCCTTCTCCCAGTGAAAGCATTTGCTTTCGGGTACTTCTCCCCTTGTGAAATGTTTCTACTTCCCTAGGAATGACACAGTTTCCTCATTACCAGCACCTCCTGATTCATCCAGCCTGAAGAGAGAACTCGATACAAGGAACAAACACAGCAACGAAGAAGGTAGCACCGTTAGAAATAATCACTCTGTCCAAATCAGCGGGAAAAAAAAGTTCATTTATCCTCATTCAACATACTTTGACATTCAGCAGCCTAATAATACAGGGTAAATAGAGCTCTCATTGCCATATATTGGTAACATTCACAATGGTCATGCATAATACAATCAGAAGTTTTCCGGGGTGCCGTTTGCAAGTAAGCCTTCATGCAGATAGGCATTCAGCTCATAAACTCCATTTTCCTATTTCCTATTAGTCCCTGAGTAGTTAATATTTCTACCTACAATATGGCTATTAAAGGCATTATAACCACCATTACACCTAGTTGTTTGTAACAGAAATGCAATGTGGCTTTAGGAAGAAGCAGCATGGAAATTACAGCAAATCAGTGGTGACAAATAGAGACTGCATTTTTTAAATACTTTGTTTTTGTAAGCAACGTAGCTGAAAAGCAACATGAGTTATTTTAGTCATGGGTACAAACTAGCCAGCTCCTCTTAACCCTTCATTAATAAGTCGCTACTGTGAAACCAGAGATTCGGGGCTCTGAGACCTCTCTAATTGAGCATTTCCTTCACACAAAATCATCCAGATTGTGACCAAATGTAGGGTCATCAATATCCTTCTTTTAATTACCCAACAGCAGTGCTTAAAGAACTTAAAAGAACCAGGGATTTTCTTGCTTAACAAGTCTTTTGCCTCTTCAATTAAAGTGATCTCTAAATTATTCAGAATTCAAATGGTGGCTTTTTGGTGGACAGCTTGCATTATTGCCAGCTGCTCAAAAACTATAAGCTAGGGCTCCCAAAACAGGGGGACTGATTGAAAATTAAGACTCTAGGATGGGGGCTGGGAGGAGGGAATGAAGACAAATTCTTTCCCTTTGACTTCTGCCTTCCAAGCAGTTACAGATTGCATTTTAAAGCTCTTCCCTGCAACCTTCAGGGCTAGACAACGACTGCTAGAAAAATGAAAACTGACTTCTAAGTAAGCATGTAACTTAAAAATATGTATTTTTTCAGCACATGGTCTTGACAGTTACAAAGTAAAAGTGTCATTTAACAAATTAATTTCCAGATTTAGCTTATGTCTAAGTACTGTAAATAAGTTCCTATAATATACTTCACCTGGTTTTGTGTATCATAGGGAATTTTTTAGATTTACTAGAGCTGTTTCTGGATTTGCATACACAGTGTATTAAAACTATTACACAATGTAACTTATTCCCAAACATTACAATTTCTGGTGAAATTTGCTAATCCCATTTTAAACTTCACATTATAATTATTTATCAAGAGATAAACTCTACAGAATTCTTATATATGGTCAGAAAGAAAGCCCTCCTGCCTCAAAACTTATTTCTAGGTATCACTAAAAGAATAAAAATATATTTTTTAATATTATGTTACAGAATAACTCTTAAACGACTAGCTGAAGGCCACTATACCTACAAACAATAATTAGCTTTGACAGAGTCAACGATGCCTCTACCAGTAGTTAATCAGGCTAAAGGTGAAACAGACATAATTAGCAACAATCATTTGTTAAATGATTAATACCAAGTGGCTATCTAAATTTCACTACTCGAGGAAAATGGGAATAGACAAGATCTGTAGGAATTGCTGAGTTACTAGAAGCTGAATAGGTTACTCTAATGTAATAATTATTTTAGCAAAGAACAGCCTGTCTTACAAGTCCTACTACAGCTTCTGATCTGCTCAATTTCAACCCTGGTCAATTGAACAAAAACAAGGTAAATATGTATTCTTACTGGCATACAAAATAAAATTAAACACTTTAGAAAAAAATATCAAAGAAAAATCCTGTTGACTGCTGCAGGCTTTAAGTAGGAGATTAAGTTTTTCTTCAGTTCAATTTTTGTTACTGTAATTACTGAATGGAAAGGCATTGTGCTAAAATGCTTGCTAACATTCTTACTAGACAAGGGTACTACCTCAACAGGGAGCAATGCTTTTGAGCTAAACTCATCTATATATAAATGCACTTTCCCAAGTTTTCTGGGTAGTACGCTCAGTCAGAGATATTAATAAGACAAGAAATGTTTTGAAAGGCAACTAGTCTACCACCTTACTGTGGGATTTAGGCTTTTATTTGCTCGAAGCCCTACTTTGGACCCTCTACAAATAGAATTCTCAGAGAGTAAGTGATAGAGAAAAATACAGAAATATCAAACAGCAGATGCACCTAAAACAGATGAGTTCTTAGAAAGCATTACTACTTATGAGGTATTCTAACTAACAAGGTGTTCTCCGCAAATCTTAAAGTCAGACTGCATTCAGTGCACTTGTTTCAGCACACATCAATCTCGGAGTACCTTTAAGAATCAGGTTTGGCAAGGTAGTCACAGTGTCACAGAATACAGCATGGGAAGCTTGGGGAGCAAACTAAGATCACTGGCTGACACTGAAGAACTACCAGTAAAAATCTGCCTGCGCTGTCAACTGAGAACACTGATAACAAAATCTAGGCATGGCATATTCAGTATTCATTTTATTGGAAACTGAGAGAAATCAATATACATTTCTGGTCACCAATATTAAACACTAGCTATTATTTAAGTTCATTTTCAACCTCATCACTGCAACTCTCAACCCCCAGAACTTCAGCTGCCATCAACTTTAAGCTTCTGTCCTCCTTCATAGGCTGAAATTGGTCCAAGATTACAACAATACTTCTGAGTGTGAAGAGTGCTGCAGATCAGATTTGTACTAAAGAAGAGGCTGTAACTGATTTTAAATGAAAATAGAAGTGAACATTGTAACTAGCTTCTTTGGAAGAAAACCACTGCGGGCCTCAGAAGACCTAGACAGCACAAAAGTGATACTTGTTGATTAAAAAGTCACCTTCAGTCAAATCAAACAAACACTCGTAGGCTGTATGAAAAGCATAGCTGAGCTATTTTCAAAGTAAACAGCAGGAATTCACACACAAAAGCTGAGCAATGGGTGGCTTTAGGGAGCTGATACAGAGATATGAATTTAAGAAAACTTAAAAGTTCCTAGATCACTCCCACTATCAAACATTTAGGAACATAATACTCACTGGAGAATATTTTACAGAGAATAAATATTTTGAAGACATAGAAAAATAGTTCACAGCATCAAGGTACCTGTAATATATTACCTTGAAATAAAACTTGTATTTAAAAGATTAAAAAGAGAAAATTACTCTTGTAGTGGTATCAACTTCTCATTCATACAAATATTAAGCAGAGTGTATCTGTTTTTCATATATTCACATTATTGCTTGCTACCACAACTGTACAAGGAAGATATTCATAGCTTACATTAATGTTCATGTACAGTAATTTTAGATATATAAAGCAAACCTTAAAACATAGGTAGCAATTTAGAAAAGCTATGTTTGAAGATATGTACAACTAAGATACAAGCAGAAGAAATAAAATACAACTGGCCTGACCCAAGCAAACATCAAATACCCAGTTTAAAAAAAAAAAAAAAAGACTTCGTACTGTGCAGAAAATAAGATTTGTAAACCAAAAGCAGACAATGAGCAGAAGCAAGGGTGCAGTACATAATTATTTAACATAATTACATTTACACTGCTGACCAGCATACCATATTTTGATAACTTCTGACATATGGCACCTGCATTTGTACCCAGAATTGTACTATTCAAAATTAGCCCAATAACTTTCTAACTTTCTTCTGCTTATGTGGCTTAAAATAAAATTAAAAATGGGAAAAAAAAAACAAAAAACAAAAAACCCACCACCCTGAAAGGTATGCCTGGAGAAAAAATTTTAGTAAAACAATCTTCTGCACCCCTGTACACCGTATGTGTCTGGTAAACAATACAAATAAAATGATACATGGCATTAGCCTGAATTAAAACTGCTACATTATAAACCAATATAAAATATTGGTTTACATACTAACATACTGTTGAAATCTTGAATTCTACTAATCAGATGCATGCAATTTGTTCAACAATTTTCTAATATGAGTAATTCTATTTTGCTTTTTTTCTTCTAAGTTTAGAACTTCTTCAGAACCAGCTGACAGGACTTCTTCATGAAAAGCACAGAGATTCCTATTAATGCAATGGCATATGGGTTCCAAAAAGCACAATTTCAAAAGGAACTTTATTACCCTCTTTTGTTGGAAGAAGCTAGCCAATATCCGAAAAGAAATAAAAATATTTACAACTGACTAGTCACTGACAAAAGTTTAGGTAGATCTTTGATGATATTTCAGCACATAAACTAATAATCAAGAGGACTTACACAATGTACAATCAAACAGTTTTGTCATTTGGGGGTAAAAAAAAAAATACCTGCTCACTTGTAGAACATTTTCAGCTGTGTATTTATAGTAATATATGTACACACGCGCGCACACATAAAAGACTCTCTGAAAATCAAGATACATTAACAAACAGAAGTAGTAAAAGTAATAACTTAAGTAGTAGTTAACATTTGCATGAAATGACTTTGCAGAGTTTGACCAAATGCACTTAGAACATGCTCTTATTAAAACAAATGAACAAAGAAAAACAAAACAAAAAAAAGAATGGAAACACCACAAGAGTCTGTAGAACCAATGCTATGTCACCACCAGGAGAGCACCAAGCAAGGCACCATTGGAAAGACAACATACTTGAATAAGTCTCTTAAAAATAAATCAAATGCTAATCTGGTCGAAAAATCGGTGTCTTTGGTAAAAATTCTATAAGGATGACCTGCACAAAAAGAAAAAAAAACAATATTAAATGGCAGTAGGAACCCTATTACTTATCACAATGATAATGCACTTTTTTTTGTTAGTTTTGTTTTGTTTTGAAGTCCATCAGGTAATAGTATTTTCAACAGGTGCAGAAATCATATTAAACAGAATGTTTTGGAGGAAGAAAACCATAACTAGGAAAGAACCAAGAGGAAACAAAAGTTTGTCTGGTAATATTAAACACATCTTAAACTGGAAGAACCAAAAACGTGTGCAACATCCATTTTCAGTTTCATATGCAATTCTCTTGGAAATTGTTTCCACTCAGTATAGGATTCTAAAGACAAGTCTACACTTCAAAACTCATGCAGAAATTTGTATCAACTACAGAAAAATTTGCATATCAAGCAAACCTGCAAGTGGTTAACAGGAAGCCTAACTAATGTTTCTGTATGATTATGCTTCAGGTCCCTATTCAAATTTTAACTACACAGATCCAGTATTGTAAAGTCAAGGATGCAATTCAAGTAGTTATCTTGTTTTATATTTAAACAGAAAGCTCCAAGAAAATATTTAAGTGTGCACTTTCATTCTTCATAAGACTACAAACAGCACGATGGTTGTATTAGTAAAAAATAAACATTCTCAGTAATACAAGTAAATGAAATCTTTAGTTATAAGGGGAGCCTGGTCTTCTATAGAGTTAAAAAAAAAAAAAAGAATTTCTAAACATTTTTTTATCAAAAAGAATAATAGAATTTGGCTGCGTAGCCAATGCTCCAATCTGATTATGTACCAAACACAAGAAAAAGTATCTCTGATATGACTTATGAGGCCAACTCTTTCAAGAAAATTGAATGGAATATGAATAATTTTAGAAACACTCAGAAGTGGTTTGATATCCTGAGAGCAGAATGCAATGCAAGCAGCTCAAATCCCACTGATGGCTGACAAGAGATGACCACTGGGTACTGGAGAGCTCCCAGGCCTTCTGATATTCAGGCAAAGTTTAAAAAGAGCAAGAAGAAAAGCTGGAACTCTGTGTTTATGCCAAGGAAGCATGACACCTTACACAATTTAGCATCTCCAGCAGCGGGTGTAGAATGTGTTTGTGTACAGGAACCTAATTTAAAGTACTTGTTTTGAAAAAATATATATACTTAAAATTAAACAAGAACTACAACATTTTGGGTAGGTTTTATAAGAGACAAGCTAGTTAACCGAAACTAAGGAAATGACATAAGGAGGTTTTTAAAATCTGATTAAACGTATCCATAGATTGCACATTCAATGTTTCATTTCACAAACTGAAAATAAAATCTTAGACCATCACCCTGTAAAGCTCTACATTTATTCTTACATATTAATGCAAATAGTTCCAATCATTTAAAACTGTATTTAACATAAGAAATGATCATCTTAAAATGCTGCTGAGCCACAGTACTTAAAAACTATCTGTGTATTTGTCGTTTTTTGTTGTTCTTTTTAAATTGAATCTGCAAAACACTGGATGAAACAGTTTTTCTTCAGAAAAATGAATCAGTGAACTACAATTCTTAATTAAAGAGAAACTCAAATTTACTTTGTGAAGTTTGCTTTATGCAAACTTATCTAAAGTTTATGGAAAAGGTGATACAAAGTCCCTACTTACTCAGTGAACTGAGTAGAGCTACTCTGCAAAAGAAAAAGGAACTTGAAAATCTTGTTTCTGACTAGAAATCAGATCTAGTGTAGAAACAGGGATATAAAAAAGGCTAAAGGGAAAAGGTTAATATAATTTCCTACTATTTAATCAGGCTTTAAATCAATTTTACACGCCTGATAGCTTTGTTGTTTCAAAAAAACAGAGTATCATTCAACAAAAAATCATAGATAAGTTGGAACTAATACAGTAGATATTTCTCAAAAATTCTTTATTTTTTCAAAAAAGTTAACTCCTCCTGTCACCTACTTCCCAGAGGGCTAAATGAAATTCTGCAAATTCAAATAAACCTTACATTTTAGCAGCTTAATTTCACCTTCTCTAGTACCCTCTGTGCAACTCCAAGAGATTTTCAAAATGGAAGCATAAACAGCATCAAGAACAAGTAAGAATGCTGCCAGCTAAAAAAACTGAAATCCCACACAGGACATGATATATTATACATATAAGTTATCACTGTGCATTTCTTAGAAAGGCTCATTTGGTCTCAGCCAAAGACTGGAATTTTGATTTTGAACACTAAACTTAAAAATATTTAGTGATGTCAATTTGAGATAAAAATACTTTCAAGACATTTGAGAAAAGGGGCAGTTAAAACCCAAAAAGGCTACTAAAGGTTTCTTAAGCTCCAACAGCTTAATTGAAAGGTCTTCCATACTTTTAGACTTGATTAGCATCATATAAAACAGCCATATCTGACTTGCTGCGTAACCAAAGTTGTGATTATTCTTTATACAGCATCTAAAATTTCACACTCCATCAGCACATGTTCGAGCTATTTTATCTTGGCAATTAATTTATTATTTTTTAGAACACAGTGAAGCCTTGTTTTCAAGTCATTCATAACTTTATAAATCAGTCCTGCACATGAAACCATGCATCTGTGAACCGTAGAAAATCCTTGCACTCAGGCGATTAAGCTCCTGACACCTTTACTGATTAATAATCACGAAAAGAATAAGATCAGAAGCAAAATAAATGATCATTTAATAGAGAAACTCACAAAACAGCCCTTTAACTTACATATTCCATCATGTTATTCGTTTCACATTTCCTTTTGCTTAGTCTCCAATGCAAGCACAGCTAGACAAGGAGGAAAGAAAAAGAAGAAAAATGAGCTGTATTTTATTGCAGCACACAGACTGGCCCATTTGTCCACCTTTCATATTTTTCGTTCAACAAAAGCATCTGTTTCCATACTGTGCAATTCAAACTCCAACAGTACGAAGCTGCTCCCTGCGGCACTCACCTTGTGGTATAACCTATTGTTTTCCCATTCTAATAACTTCTCAATCGATCTTCGTGTCTGGAAGACAAATGAGAAAGAATTTTACTCTTGAGTGGTTTTAGAAAAACTTTGTTTTGCAGCTGCTTTTGTGTGAAAAGGAGAGAGGTACAGGACAGTGACTGAGTACAGGGTGGTCTGTAGCACTACCAAAACTTCCCTGGTTTTAAAAAGTAACCAGTGGAGAAAATTGCTTTTTATGACAAGCAAATAACTATTGTCAAAAGATTGTAGAAAGATATAACCAGTTTGGAACAAAATCTGTTCACATATATACATCTTCGTAGCAGTTACAGCTTCAAAACCTATTTCAGAAACTTTAACATGACCTAAGCATAAATGCAGGAGCATAGCTCAGTGGTACCAGTGGTCTAAACTTCACTTCTTAGAAGGTCAGTATTTCAGCAGACAAAAGTTGCAAACAGTATTTTACAATGTCATAGGTTGAGTACCAACACGCAGTAGTCCATTTGAGCAAACAAAACCAGAGCCGTTACATTTATGCTCAGATTTTAGGGAGCAAATCCAAAACGCAAAAAGTCCCAGTAACTGACAGAAACAAGCGTTAGAAAACCTGTGATTTGCATAAAGAGCAAACCCAGTATTTAGGACTCTAAAACCAAGTTTGAATGCCTGTCTTTTCCACAGTTGACGCTTCAGATAGAGAATTCCGAAATCTGTTTCTTCACAGCTTTTCCAAACCACACACACAAGCATTAAAGGACTTTCTGCACTGTAAATTTCACGGCATTTTGAATATAATTATTCTGTTGTATTTACATTTGAGAAATACATTCTGACATTTATGGTCATTTGACTGCCAAAATATATATACTGCTCAGCTCTAAATGGGATTTGCTACTGACTATGAATAAATAGAGGATAATTCATGGTGCCAGGTGTTAAGATGAGACCAACAGAGCTGCAGGTGCAAAAGGACGGAGCAATGACAAGGATCAAATACAACTTAGTGCAGCTGCAGCTTCCTTACAAGGCACAGAGGGGTGAGGGGAAGGGATGAGAAAGCATCTTGCTGCTATTACTACAAAACATAAGTACTGTAAATGAACCTTAACAAATCAAGCAAAATGCAGCCCTGGCAAAAAAGCATGTCTGAACAAAATAAAAATTAGACAACAAGTTATTCATTTCCCATCAAATTCTAACATTTTCTGCTTTTAAACCTCCAGTTACTCTCCAGCATAATATTGTGGTGGCTACAGGGAAGCACGTCTAAGCATGGGCTGCGGTCACGTGATAAAAATTAGATCACTGCCATCCATAAATACTCATTAAACTGAATTTTTATTATTTCGTATTTCAAAAAAGCGTAAGTCAAGGAACTACCCAAAGGTGGAGGTGCCAGCGACTAATTTATCACTTCAGTTTGGAACTAAGCGTTTTGGGGGTTATTGTTATTATTATGTTTTTAAAGACAGTGCCCTTTAACAATAATCAGTAGACCTCACTTGTTTCTTTGTAAAGATAGCCTTTTAGAGTCTGCTCTCCTTTTAAATGAAAATAGGGCAGCAGTTATGGTCACACTTTTGTTAATTTAGTTGCCAGTCAGCTCCAAATCAAAAGAAAATAAGGCTGCAGAGTGTAATTAACATTCAGTTCAGTCGTTTTGTCCCTTGTCTAGCCCCCAAGCTTTGTTAAAATTGCCATCTGAATGCTGAAGGCTGTAGGGAAATCGATTTGATTCTAATCGCACCATGAAAAGAACATGATCTAACTGCTTTCAGCCCTCCGTAAATCTGTACTAGGTCTTTAGCACAATGCAACTTCCAATTTAAAAAGCACTGAATGTCTCGTCAATGACTTTGTGAAGAAAAAAGAACAAGGAGCAGACATAAAAATTCCAATAGTTGTTTAAGCATTAAAGTTCATTTGCATCACAGCAAACCTGAAAAGGGCTGACCTCTCAAACCGCCTCTCAGGTCTATGAAGTTGTAGCCTTGACAAGCTCACATTGACAGAGCTCATTGACTCTGAAAGGCTACTCTATCAATGGTGAAAAATGGCAATAGGTTCTACTCTGAGCAGGCATCTGCCTGCCCACCCGCTGCTAAACCAATGGCAAAACCGATTCAAAACCTGAATCTACCTTGTAATCTTCCTTGCCGGGACCTCTTAATAATAGATTAAGATCACTATACAATTTAATTTCATTGTTTGCCCAAAAGAGTGTGAAAAACATTTAAGCTTTTCAAATTCCAATAAAATTACAAATATATTACAATGCATACACATAAATAAGAAACTGATAGGTAGTTATGTAGTATTAATTGGTTGTCTTAAAAATGAACCCAGTTTAAAGTCATTTGAGCAGCATTAGATAAAAACACATGCAGCCTTGCGACCGTGATCATTTGAGTTCCCAAGGATGCACATCTAAACCCTCCAGTAGTATAACTTGGGATATTCACAGCTCCCAAATCATACCACATTAAATATACTAAAACGTTAATGAAAATTAGACTGTAAATTATTTCTGCAAATCTGAGCTTGGAATAAAAAGAAATGAATTAAGCAGCATCACACAATTCACTATAGTAAGTTTTCTTCCTACTTGACAGGTGAAAAAAAGCACTTGCACGTGCAGCTTAATTAATCACTGCTCTTGACATCTCAATGATTTACAGTGAGGAGCAGGTGAGGATATACAAAACCAGAAAGAAGCACTTGATTTGAGTGTAGCATTTCCAGCGCACCAGGATGACAAGCTTATATATTCTGTCAATGGTATACAGAAAAACCTATACAGCAAATTATTTGTTAGCCACAACAAAAGCACAAATTAAGTGGAAGAGAGACTTGCTAGCATTAGAAAGATCTAACACTATCCAGCTTCTACATTTTTTTTCTAAGAAAACACATTAATATTTGAGCAAAGCTGAAACTGCAATTTAAATATAGTTCTTAGTATACCAATGATATGAAAGTGTACTTTGTAACACGCTCTGTAAAATCGCACGTAGTGTTTAACGTTGGCTATACATTTTTGAGGCATAGATCCCTTCAGTCTACATGCAACCTTTAACAAAAGAATTTTTATTAAATGACTCTAAAGATGCTAATGTAAGACTGTATTCTTTGGATATTCAGACTACCAAAAAAGCCCAAATCAAAATGCAATTTACCAATTCGTGTTACTCTCAATCAGATACAGTTTTGCCCTGGACATGAAAAATATCAGAAAGACTATGAACTCATTGCACAGAGAAAAGGCAGCAATTATTACAAATAGAGCGCCACTTGTACTATCAACCACAAGAGCTTTCTCCTATGTCTTCACAGTGTCTAGTGACGTTAGGTTGCAGTTCCAGATGCAGTTATGATCTGGACTGCAAGGCTGTACAGACATAAGGCTCCCTGCAGTGCGTAACCTGGAATATAAACACTGCATCACGCAGTACTAGCAAATGAGTCAAAGCCCTTCCACCTCATGCTGTAACCCAACCAATGAGTAACGTAATGTTAAGCAAGAGGTCTTATGTGATACCCAAAGTTGTGATCATTTGAGTAACTCCCTACGCTTTAAGTGAAGAAACAATACAGACGGTGACAACATTATTCATCATTACCAATTTTATTCATAGGTGTCTGGAAACAGCAGAAGAATCTCCCCTTACGTGCATTTGATCTGAATCTGAAGACTTCCAACATTTATGCAAATGTAGTGTTATGCTAGTCCCATAAACTGCACATGGAGATTTTCAAATACAAAATCTTACCACAATCAAGTATTAATAATCTCAAATATTGCTTTGAAAAAATAAACATACTTTATGCTCAAATTTCACAATACAAGGAGACCAATTCAATAAACTTTTTGTAATGGTCATACTGCCCAAATTTCAAATACATCTCTAGGAAAATAAGCTGAGAATCCTATCAGAACTCTGACCTCCACCATCTCCTTTCATTCAAAGGAAAAAAAAAAAAAAAAGGATAGAAGTAGGAATGAATCCCTGTTAATTTTCCAGACAAAGATATACTGGTCTACAAAATTCACACCCAAGTAATTTCGTTATCACCCCTGATAGTGAGGTTAACCAAGTCACACAGTTGTATGCTCACTTTCAACAAGCCAGAATATCCCTAAACCACCTCTCTCACACACAAATGCTTTCAGAGATTTAATTCTTTCACAAAGAGTTTGAAAAAAGAAAAAAAAAAACACACTAAAAGTGTGGGTATATAGTTGACACTCAGGCAATATCAAGTATCTATTAACCATATTTGTGTGAGAAATGTAAAAACATACTGTAGACAGAGCTTAGATGGAGGAGGTCTTGGTATGCTGTCACACAGCATGTTGCTTCTAGTATTAAAATGCCTTCTGTAGAGTTCGTAATGTGTGGACTGTGAAAGAAGTCTAAACAGCTTCAAGTTCTATATTAGTGGCATGAAAATACCAATATTGTAATCAAAACATACATAACTGAACTACAAGTATCTTGATAGAGGTTTGAAAAGCTGTCTGTTAGATCACATTAGTGCACTTTGCACAACCTTTCCTGTTGGCAGCTAGGATGCTTCTTACAAGCTTAAGAGTGTGTACTCATATCAGAAGCCACTGCACTAAGAAAGCGAGTGAAACCCATATACGCATATTGAATAACATCTGGAAACAAATGTAGCACTTCTGGTGGAAACTTCCTGCTATGGAGAAGTCTTGTAGTGAAAAATTTTGACCTTGGCAAAACTGTGAAGCGCATAAACATTTCATGGACAGACATATATTGACTGAATCCCTGAAGCATCAAGATGATAACTAATATTGTTACTCCAAACTCAAATTGGTAAGCGACTTAATTCTTTCATTCCAAGATGAAATTCCATCTCTGAATCTGTCATTAAACCCACAAATCTCCTTCCCTCCAAATAGATTTAATTCTGGGCACGATAAAGGCATTCACCTCCTGCTGAAGGACACTCTCACAGAAAGGGTCACATGGAACATGGAAGGTAGAATTGACCACAGCAGGGATGAGAACAGAACAGAATCTACCAAATAACTAATCTGGTGTTGTCCACTGTGAGAAGTTATAAACTGAGTGCAGATTATTAAAATTCTACCTCCACCTCCCCTTTCAAGATTACAAAGATGTCAGTTTGGATCTTGATCATTTATTTCCAAAGTATCTAGTAACATGCCACAGAATATAGTTCAGGGCCAGAGTAGGTGGAGAAACTCAATGATCTCAGGTTACAACTGCATTAGGAAATGAAGCTGTGCCCAGAAACTTTCCCATTCAGTTGAAGCCAGCTGGCAGGGAAGAGCTGACATCTCCATCAGTAAGTTTTCGTAACTTCCAAACCACCCATAGTGTCTGAAGCACCCTGATAATGCCTAGAAATTGTTACACAACAAATTGTTACACAACACAGGACCAACACCTGCCACAGACCTTCCTACGAGTACAAGTTATAAAGCTCCAATTCCTAGGAACATTCCCAGGCTTCATTTATTAATAGGAAGCCTTTCATTCTTGCTGCTACGATTATCTAAGGGCAGGGTCAAAGAATGGAAGAGAAACTACATGAGAAGCAGCACAAAGCAACAAAATAACTTCAGAAGGCCCCGTAAAATCCAGCATGCACACTGAAGATCCTTCTAAAGGGAACAAGTCTCTAGCATCCTGCCTCTCTAGGACTGAACCAGAAGATCACAGAATTCTAAGTGTGCTGATTCTGTAGATAATCAATTAGCTGGGAAAAAATAAACATTGCTACATTAAAATTCAGATTTTTCCATCAATACCATCATTGTTCCAAATTCAAAAAAATAAGTTAATAGGGAACAAAATGAACAGTAACTTGTCACTTTCCACATGCATTTGGTACAATAGCAGACTTATGATCTCCTGCAGTCTTCTCTTTGTAGGAGAGCTGTCTCATCCTTCAGAATCAATACCAAAAAGGAGATGATTTGAAAAAACTGTATATTAGGCGCATACAAATTCTTCTTTTTAAAAAGTTTCACTAAACTGGCTAGACCCAATATAAATTTTGCATGTTTTCTGTTAGAATAAACAAAGAGGTTACAACTTTCCAGAATCTTCCAAATTAAATTACAATGTGAGCTTATAAGAGATTCTAAATAGAAAAAAAAGCAGCACCTTCTGTTTTATATGATTGTCCCTTGAAACTGTTTGGAAAAGTATTACCACATCAGAGCATCTCTAGTGTCAAGTTCCTGGCAGGTATGCAGAGAAGAAAATCTTTTTTTTCTTCAATTGTGTAAATAAATGAATTGTATTAAAAACAGCAATAAACAGAACTAATGTGGTTTATCACTATCACCCATAAATTTAATCCTGCATCTCTACTGCATGTTTAATTTAATCAGCAGTTTAGAAGTTGTAATTAGCTTATGTTTATACAGCACTCTGAAGATGTAAATTGCTATGCAAGTGGCAATTAATAATAGGGTTTAAGCAGCATTCATCAGCTTTGTTTGAACTCAAAAACAAACAAGCAGCTCATAAAAGTATTAGTACAGATTGCTCTTAAATATCTCATTCTATTCATTTTAAGAGACTGCCTATGAACCTCTGAAACATGTAATTTACATGCAGAACACTATTAAGAAATCTAGAGGTATGGCAATTTTATCATAGCTTTCACTATTACAGTTTCTCTTGAAACCATTTACCCCATTTACACATCGAGAACAACAGCACTTAGTACTGAAATGACTGTCAATTAATTTGAAAAAGTGGCTTCAAATGGGCACCTCAGCCTGTACACATTTTTGAATTATAACTCATTATGTCATTCTTTTATTTAAAGAAAAAAAACTCAGACTTACTGTCCATCTGTACAACCTGGAACTTGTCCCAGGAAGGATGGTACAATCTGTGTATAACTGCTGAAGATCACTGACAATCTAGATCTGCAAATAAGGAGCTGTACTTCCTGCAATTTTCTTGCAGATTTTATTCATCTAAATCCAATCAAGACCACATTAAAGGAAAGAGGCAATAAGATATTTAATCAAATTAAACATTTATTCTACTGGTGAAGAGTACCAGGCTCTTTCTCTAATACCTCATTGCAAAAGAAGAAAGGCTTGCAAATGCCTGTGATTTAAAAAACTCCTGGTTTAAAGGACTTGCTGATCTAAGGAGACAAATCCATAACTTAATTTTTACACAAATGCACAAAAATAAGCATATATTCCCATTATACAAATAGTCATTCAAAGTGTGTAGCTTCAAAATGATTTACTTTTGTGATAGCATTCAAATATTAGAATTCAAAAAGCTATTGCAAGCAGTAAGGAGAAAATAAAAAAGAGAATTACTGTGACTAATTCAAAATTCTGATGAAAGTGCCGTTTTCATTTCATCAAGTCTTTCTCAGCCAGATCCAGGATTAAGAGTTTCAATTTGGGAAAGCACTCCTGTATTAGTCAGTTAATTAATTCTCCTCTATATTATAGTCATCAACTCACCCAACTGAGTTCCCAGCTCTTATAGACAATAACCCTTTAAACAGACATCTATATGTTGCGTTGCTGATACAGACAAATGAAGTTGTCACAACATCTGACTTTAAGGATTTTCATTCCACAGCAATAATCAAACAGCCTGAACGCATGTATTCAGTGCTATCACAAAGGCTGTAGGTATCATGTCTAGTGCCACTATGCCACTCACAGTGGCACAACAGTGTTCAGGCAGCTGAGACCTACCTTTAATTTCATCAGGTTCTAAGCTTGTAAGTCCAGCATGAATCACCCATCTTCAGTGCAGGAAAAGCTGTGGAATTCCTTAAGTAATACCTTCTGAACAGTGTATCCATGCCTTTTTTCCAGATTTATCCTTCTGAAAGAGAGCTTACCAGAACTCCCATCCCAAGCTAACAACAACTGAAGCACTCCTCTGTTGCTTCACTGGGTTCCTACACAGAACCTCTTTCCTCATACTGCAACTCTGTTTCCTGGCGCCAGATACTTTAAGCCCTTACCTTTTTTCCTGACTCTGTTAAACACTGCATTAAGAAGTTGATTACTAGCGACTTTCAGTACTGGATTCCAAGACATCAGCCTCCTCCTCCTCCCAAAAAGCAACATTACTTTCTACCACCACCAAAAATGAGATTACATTTTTAACAAACAGAGCTAGACTTCAAATAGAAAATAGTTATCTCTGCAAGCTGGCTAGGTCACCAATCTACCTGTTGAAGTAATCAGCTGATTTTCTGCAGCAGACTTTCAGGATGTAGATGTATGGTCATCCTACAGGAAACTCACTAGTTCATAGCAACTTAAAGGTACAAAACCAAGGGCTTGAAATAATTCAGACTGAAACTGTATCTCTCCATGGACTCCAATATTACCACCAGGTTATTTTGCATACAGTTAAAACTAGTTTAAAGTAATCCCTCCAAGAAAATACTCATTAAGATTTACGCAAAAAAATTAGACAAAAGAAATATGCACTGGTTTTATTATGCTCTATTCTTCTTGTTTGCTTTCAGTACCTGGGGGTTTCAGGAGTTCAGATATAGCTTTTATAGCATATAATGGTACTACCAATACTAAAACTACAAAGTAGCTTGCACAGCTTCTGGTTTTAGCAGCACCACATGCTTGAGCAGATGTGCATTTGTGCAGGAGCCTCCATCTGAAAATGCTTGATCAATATTGAAAAGATGAGCAAATAAAATTATAATATAAATATAAATTATAATATAAATAAATATAATCACATTGCAGAAGCATATAATCACTGTCAACCTCAGAGCACTGATTTACGGACTGCAAAATGAGGTCTGCTGTAAAGAAAAGCACGAAGGTATTACACAGGATGGAATACACACAAGCGTCATCATGAACTTGAAAGCATTACAGCACCAATATAAGGAGAGGATGGTGATGCACAAAGACTTCTTGCAAAGAAGTAAAATCACATGAGCCAAAGTTTTTACACATGAAAACAGAAGAGATGGGGAGGGTTGCAAAATTACTTGCAGTGGAATAAGGGAGGGGAAAAAATCAGACACATGCAAGAAGCTTCTGTTGTGAACAATACACTAAGAGACACAGACAAAACACTAATTTCTAGCTGTTGATGCAAGAAGAAATATCTTATTCATCTACAGCTTGGAAGGAAGATAAAACAATCTTTAAAAAAATTATTTGTAAATGCAAGCATATGGCTACTTAGGTCACAGTATAATTAGAAACTCCTCACATACTCTTCACAACAAACAATGTCCAATTCTGATGATCCCAAACAGAGTATCACAGAGAAGCTATTAAAAGTGCTCAGAGTTATCTCTGTAACAGTAAGTGCTGCACAGTACACAGCTCTAGCAGAGACACTGCTGAACTATGAGTCACTGAGTTGTAAGCTCAGCATTCTCACTACCATCTACTTTAAGTTGTATGACAGACAACAGGGATTAAAATGTATGAAATCAAACTCATCTTCGTAAGCAGAAGTATGCTTTATTAAAGTTGACATGGAAAAAAAGAGGATATGAGAAATAAGAGAAAAAAAAAAAAGAACAAAGCCAATACAATTCTGACTACCAAAAATAAGAATAGTTCAACTTACTCTTTTACTGAGGCAGATAACTGGCCACATACTACAACCTAAAGTGCAGCAGCAGCAAAGGCATCCACAAAGTAGCCATCGTACATTAACTGGAAGGTTCTTCTTAAGACAACTGTTAACTCTACTGATGCTGGCTTTAAATTCTTCGGGTGCAACCTACAAGAAAAAGCAAAATACTTATTACCACAGCAGTGTGATTCATTACTCTTGGAGTGGACCACAGCTTAAGCTTTTGCTTTTATAATAGCAAAAGTCTGAAATCAAATTCTAATTTATTTTTTTTTTATTCACAGATACTCACCTTCCCAGTTAAAGATGAAGGAAATTCTGCTTCAAATTTGTTGCTTAGTCCAAACCTGAAAAAAACAAAATGATACTCATACCAGAATCATAAATAACCCCAATCTATGACACCCAAGCTACGAGCACCCAATATGAACCCAAAGAACAGTATTGATTTATGGAAAAAATTGTTTCCTAAAGGTAATTACTAAATGCTATCCTAACAGGCAGAAACACACAATCATAAACAGTCTGGAATTCACTTTGCCTCCAGCCTCTTTTAAAGATCCGTAGACACTGTTGACTCTTCCTTAAACTCAGCAAAATCTTCATAAGCAACAGTATAAATATGAAAAATCAGAGGTATTCAAGAGGAGAGAAAGGTAAGATCATAGTGCAAATCTTCCCACTCCACCCAGTACAGATGCATCTTGAAGAAAAGCTCATTTAGCAGGATCTAAATGGAGTAACACCAAACTGTTCTAAGCATAAAAATGGATTCAATAACACCTTGTTTATTCAGAAAAAAAAAATTACTAGTTTAATGGATGGTATTTGCTGTTCTCAAACTTACTAAACACAGTTTAAGCGCTAACTTGAAACAAACAAACATCCGTATCAATTGAGAATGGAAAGCTATGAAAAAACTGATATGGACTAGAATTTCGGGCTGACCTGGGCCACGGAAGATCTCAAGATTATGAGTTTCACCTTGACTTAAAAAAAAAAAATAAAAAGACAGAAAAGCCTGTTTGTTTTCTATCTTACAGCTGGCTGACAGGGTTCGTGAATGAAAACATCTCAAATAAAACTTGAATGCTTTCTGGCATCCAGTCTAGGTTGCAGCTAAGGGACTCTACAGCCTGAAAAAGGTGATAACAAAACTGTATGACAAGGTACTAATTTGGAAAACAACACTCAGGTCAAAATTTTATTTGCAATTAACAAGTTCCTGAACACAAACCAATGCAGATTTATCACCAAAGCTACAAATCAAATCAGACATTAAACTACTCAAGACTTCAATGTTGACAGCAAGACCGGTTACTCAGTTGTGCTCCAGCTAACTTGAGCCCTGACAGTTGACTATTTTAAATAAATTCTTTGAGAATACATACACTGAGCAGCTGGGTATTCCTCAGGCAATATTTTCTTACTAAGCAGAGTGCTCTGCTTGCCAATGGACAACTGTGTCCAAGTACGTAAGCGGCCAACGGGCAGTTAAGTGCTGCACCAATGGAAACGCACTGCAGACACACCTCACAAAACCAAGTGAACAAAAAATGGCACATGGACTTACATAAGAGGTTCTGAATCTTGGGAAAGCCAATGTAAACTACGCTTACATGATGCTCAACTTAGTTCAGTAGCTACATCTCTCAAGGCATGATTCTCTTAAAATATGAGCTCAACAGCAGCAGCCATGAAAAGTAGCAAGGAAAGACTAGGAACCATTAGCTAGACAATTAAGACCACAACATAGGGCATCATTTTGACTCTCCATAAAACCCTTGTATGCCCACATGTTCAGTACAGGTTGTTCTTCTGGCATCCACATCTCATGGAGAACTTGGAGTTGAGAGAAAGCAGAGAGAAGGAAGACTGATATAACTAAGGGAGTAGAAACAGGTGCCTTACAAGACCATGAGGCTGACATTAACTTGGAAAACAGAAGGCTGGGGGGAGGTTATGAGACCAAAGTACAAAGATTCAGGAAGAGAGTGGTTAAGGTCAATGATCAACTCTTAATCATCAAATCCCACAACAGAGGGCTGAAGCCGGCACGAGACTGGTTTTAAACAGATAAGACAAGAGCTTCTTTAAACTGCAAGTAGTAAACTTCTGGGTTTATTCTGACTTGAGATTATAGAGGCAGACTGTGCCAACAGATTTTAAGACAGATTAGACAAGTTCCCAGTCAAACAAGCACTAAAGGAAAAAGATGTTAAAGTATACATTACCCCTACACAGCTGTGGATGCCAGAGACTACAGGGCAAACAGATGCCAGGCACAAGTAGGGTTGCAGGCAGCCTCTAAGCAGCAACGTCCATTGCCACAGTTTGCAAAAGCATGCCAGGATAGATAGCTTATCAATTTGATGCCATAGGTAACCCCTACATATGTTCTTCAGAAGTTAAAAAAGTCACAGTCCTGCCACTTGACAGAATACAGTACCTGACTTACACCTAAGTCACCTAACACAGCGGAATACTTTAAGTAGAATGGCAGCTCTGCAATTCCTACAAATCCCTCAAAACTGAGGAATTAAATTGAAACTTAACTAGAGAAACGTAAGGCAAGTTTACCACTTCAACACAGAACACACACACACAAACTCTTACTACAACTCCACAACAGAAAGCTCTGTGGAATACTCTATGCCAGAAAGACCTTCTACATTTCCCCAAAATCTTGAGTGAAATCAAGCACCCAGGCAAAGATTATGTCAGAAGCACCACACCCTATCAGTTAAGCTACTTATAATTGCCAGTAGGCTGAAGATGAAACCAATTGCTGAAAAAAATCTCACGTATCCACACATATTTCATATGCAGCCACACCTGGTAACACCATTCTAATATATAATAAGTCCATCCACTCAATAGAGACATGTCCTCTCTAAAACAACTCATCTTCAAAGAATGAATCACAAAGCAATCTTCATGTACCTGATACTTCAACACCCAGAAAAGATTAAATATGAACTCAAACAATAGAGGAGTGGCCAGCTGTAAGGATAATTCCATTCAAAGCAACTCTTGTTCCCAAGAGGAAGTGAGGCTGAGCCTTGCACCAAGAGATGCCAAGGAAAGTCTTTACCCCGAGGCACAAGCAGGTAAAGCAAAAGCCCAAGTCCCCCCGTTCTCAGTGAAATCACAAAACAACATAATTGCAGTTTCATGCTGAAGTTTGGTTGGGAAATCAGCAGAACAGAAACAAGGATTTTTTGTAAATGCACAATCCAGAAGTATTTAAATACTGACAGCTTCAAATATTAAAGCGTTGTGCCTGACAAAGACAATCCAACTCAAAAGCTCCAGAGTTATCTTTAGTCTTTCAGAATAAAACATCAGTATTTAAAGTAGACAAAATATTTTTCCCCACTCTCCCACTTGGAAACAGTCACATTGCCTCAGTGTGACTGTAAATTACTTCAAGTGCAGCTTTCTAGCACGGAAACTTCTGACCAATACAGATGCACTTCGATAAAGCTACAAGCAAATGAGACTAAGGTTCAGTATTCAAGATTTCTGGCAATGTTTAATACATGTAGGGATAGCTAAACTGAAACATCAAAGCTAGCCAGCTACCAATAGCACTCTAAGCTTTCTATTTTACAGTTGCCACATGTAGGTGGTAAAAACGATGACTCCATACTTCAAATGCTTTGGTAAGTAAATGATATGATCCCAGTGTTATCGCTGTTGACTGCATGCTATAATTTGGAAATTAAAAGATTAGGAATTACACATAACACTGCTACAGTTTCACTGTAATTACACAGGAAAAAGCTGCAAAAAATGTCTTAAAATCACTTGAAATAAAATTCCAGAGCTGCATTTCCTCAGACAGCTGTCCTCATGTAGCATTAAGTGTATTTTGTACAATACCCCATTCTCAGTAAAGCATACGTTCCTCTGCTTGCTCTATGCCCTTTCTTATTTCATACCATGACCTCCATGTTTTCAACACATCCACGCTCACCTTGTGCATGAGCACTTCCTTTAACCTTCCTGGAACCTGAAAAAGTGTTTCTTGAACATGTTTCTGCTTGAAAGGCATAGCTGAGTTCCTCCCTTGTTTACACTGGGGAGAAAGAAATGGTGAGAAGTGCAATCTTCAAAGGAAAAAAATTACAGTATAGAGCTCAGCCAACATACAACTTTTTCGCAGGCTGCAGCTCTGATCTTCCTAACACGTAAAACTGATGGGCATTATCTTCCTCCTCTTTGTCATCTCTTATTGAGACACTAAACCATTTTTTCCATTCTTCTCATCTATCACAGAATCATAGTTGGAAGGGACCTTTAAAGGTCATGCAGTCCAACTCCCCTGCAATGAACAAGGACACCTACACAGCTAGATCAGATTGCTCAGAGCTCCATCCAGCCTGACCTTGAATGTCTCCAAGGATGGGGCATCCACATCTCTGAGCAACCTGTTCCACTACTTCAATACCCTTATTGTAGAAAACTTCTTCCTTATATCCAATCTACATCTCCCCCCTTTTAGTTTGAAACCATTTCACCTTGTCCTATCACAACAGACCCTGCTAGAGAGCCTGTCCCCTTCTTTCTCATAGATCCCCTTTAGATAATGAAAGGCCACTACCAGGTCACTCCAAAGCCTTCTCTTTTCCAGGCTGAACAGCTCCAACTCTCTCAGCCTGTCCTCACAGGGGAGGTATTCCATCCTTCGGATCAATTTTGTGGCCCTTCCCTGGACACACTCCAGGTCCATGTCTCTCCTGTACCGAGGACTCCACATCTGGACACCACACTTCAAGAGAAGTCTCATGAGCACAGAGCAGAGGGGCAGGATCACCACTTTCTACCTGCTGGCCACACTCCTGATGCAGCTCAGGACAAGGTTGGCTTTCTGGGCTGTGAGGGCACATTGCTGGCACATGTCCACTTGCTATCCACCAGTTCCAGCAAGTCCTTTCTGGGCTTCCACACGTTCACAGCTCTTACAAAATACATACAGATTCCACACACCTTCACACTCTCCCATGCATGATTCTTCCATTACCCTCTTTTTCACTCCCATGAAAATTTATTTTTGAAGGTTTTGCCCTGCCACAAACAGTTATATTGCATCAACACAAGAAGTGCTAAGATGCACAGCACAGAAAGGCATTGAGAAGCACATCACAACAGCTCTCTATCAGTCTGGTGCTGCAGAAGACAACTAAACCCAACCTTACTAGCTAAAACAGCCTGGGATAAGGCATGTATGTCTCAGCTGACCAAAGAACGGGGAAGCCCAGAAAAAGTCACTGAAAATACAGTAAGATAACATCTATCACAAATATTCTTTTAGCAATTTCAGACTCATCCTGAACCTCTCCTTCCACTCCAACAAGATTTTAGGAAAAAAAAAGTGTGAAATACCCTGGATTTTTCAATTCAGTTAACTAATGTAAATAATATTCTGTATTCTCTCAGCTCTCAAGGTTCTTGTCACTAGAGATCTCTTCAAGAAAAAAAAAAAAGCCACCTCAAATACTACTACTGAGTACCAAAATATCTAAATTTTGCTGGTGTGAAAATGACTTACCTGAATATTTAAAAAACAACGCTTTTACAAAATATATATAGGATTGCGTGCAGCATGCTCCAAACAGTGAATTTAAAGAGGATTACTCTTAGCATCAAACAAAAGTCCCAAAATTGAAGGCAAGGCCTTCGTACATTTTATCTGGATAATATTTACCTGAATTCTTTTGACTCTCTTTTAACTACTTAGCTTAGAAAGGATATCCAACTATCTGTTGGATAGTGGAATAATGCCTTTCTGACATTAATCTGTAGTCATGAAAATGACATATTTCAAACAAAACATTATGACTCCTATAGAAGATCAGAGGATATAACAGAAGACAACAAAAAAGAGAGCATCTATTTAAATACACACACAGCAAAATCAGTCAGCACCTCTTTAAACAACAGAGTCAGAGACAGATCAATCCATATTCACTTTATTTAACCACTGATTTTTTTTTTTTATTTTTATTTTTTTGGCCAGACCTTCAAAGCACATATATGCTTTTATACCACGCAAAACAAACTAATTAGACACGTACACTTTGACCTATTTCTTAAATTCAAGAAGCGAGTGTCCTGACAGTGATCTAAATACTAGTAATAAGCTTCTCATCCACTAGGAAAAATGTCATAGGCTGCGGAAAGGTGAAATGGGCTAACACTATTCAGGGAACTGTTTGTGCACCCAGTGCAATAAAAAAAAGTACATTCAGATCTAATTGCATGATTTGGGAGGTCCATGCTCACATATCATTACTCACCCAGAAGCTACAGAACTAATATTTTGAGGAAGGTGTTACAGCTGTGAGCTAGTGATCATTAATAAACAATTAATGAGACAGCTATCCTTCAGCCACAAAGTCCATACCAGTCACAGACACGGTATGCAAGCTTCCTCAGGGTTTTATTAACGGATCTCACACAACTTCATGTACTGGAGAAGAAACCAGTGCTTGCCTCAATTTCAGTTCTTGATACATTTCCATCCGTCAATAAGACAACCATCCACATTCTTGATCTGCTCACCAGAAAAAGATCAAGGCTACCAGCTTATTTTCACAGATGGCAAACAGCCACTGGATGACAAAAACATCTCGATCACAATGGAGTGAAATACAAAGTCATACACTGAATATTTTGGATACATTTCCCTTCAGTGGGCTTCACAGCCTCCTGCCCACTCCACACCCTCCCAAGCTTCTAAACCTCTCTGTCTATCACATCTTGTTTCCTGTTTATAGCCAGCTGGCAATCTCCACCATCTGGTTGTCAGCATTTCATAATATCAATCAATTATAGCACTGATGAATCAAAGCACCACCAAACTATTCCAAAGTTAAACCCAGATTTCTGGACAGGGTGGTATATGGAAATCAGCAGAGGTCAGGGGAGTCAGAGAAGTAGAACACAATACCTTCAACTTCGATGCTTCTGCTACGAGGCTAGTCCCGATGAACAGTTAAAATATACTTCTTTAATGCATACAAACTTCTTTAATACACACACACACAAACATAACTATTTATATAAAGTTTGCTGTGCAGTGCTTTGTCTCTAGGTTGTTATGTCAGTACCTGAAGCTGGAGACAACCTTATGCTTCAGCAGGGTGCGCCCGATGGAACCAACTGGAGGAAAGTCACCCTCACCTGTTTAATTATTGAGAAGCCCCACGCCAACTCACAGCGTTAGCGCCAGGGATATTTGCAAACCAAAACTCGCAGCACCTCCCGTGTCAGACAAAGTGAAACCACGTGCACCCACCGCAACCCAACCCTACCGCAAAGATACCCGTGTGTCCTGGGGCTTCTTCCGCCCCCCCGAGAGCTCTCGGGGCGGCCCCACGTGGCCGCGGACGGGCAGCGGGCACGCAGACAGCCCTGCGGCGCGTTCCCGATCCCACACGCAGCCCCACGCACCTGACTTCCTGACACCTCACCGCTCCGGACCCGCGCTTCGCATTCCTCTCTTACTCACAGCCCCGCATCCTCCTCGCCTCCCCGCAGCTCCCCGCTTACCCGCGAGTCCCGGGCGACCCCAACTGGCCCCAAGCCGGCACCGGGACAGCGGCTCCGGCCGCTGTCCGCAGCCCGGCCCGCCGCCCGTCCTCCGCCTGCCCCCGGCCCGCCCCGGCCTCCCCTCGCCTCCCGCCCAGGCACCCGGCGCGCAGGCCCCGGCGCGGCCCTTACACGGTGACATGGCCGGAGCCGCGCACCACCACCGGGTCGGGAGAATACTTGAGGAGCTGCTCCTCCAGCGCTCGTTCCTCGTCCTCCTCCTCTTCGTAGATCTCATCGAAGTCCGCCATGGCCGGGCCCGGGAGGGGGAGGTCGAAACGAGGAGCCGAGGCGGCGGGCCCGGCGGGGGGGGGGAATGGAGGGGCGGCAGGAGGCCCGGGTCCCGGGGCCGGAGCGGGCGGCAGCAGGGCCGCGGAGAAGCGGCGGCTGCAAGACGGCGGCTCCGGGCGAGGAAGCGCCCGTCACCCTCCGCGGGGGGAGGGGGCGAGGGGCGGGGCAGGAACAACAACAACAACATCCGGCCGGAGAGACGCCCCGCCCCGCGCCGCACGGGAAGCGCGGATGGGCGGCGGGGGAAGGCGGCGCGTGGTTGGGTGGCTTGTGCCGTGGGTTTGGGTGGGTGTTGGTGCCCGTCTTTGCTCTACGCTCTTTTCTGGGGCGTCCACTGAAGTGGTGGGGCTACGGGTGTCTGTTAGGCCTTCTGGCTTAGCTGAGGGCTCTGTAAGGGAAGCGGTTTCCATCCAGCACGGCTGTTCTGCCGCTCGGATGGGGGCTGTGCGGAACGTGTGTCTGTCCCTTGGTGTGCTCAGTGTGTCTGAGTACTGCAGCCTTTCTTCCGGCAGCCTGCCCATTCGTCTGCTCGTGGACAGCAAAGCAGAGAAATTGCAGGAGAATGGTCCTTATGCATGTTAAAATAAACCACGGAACCCTGAAAGAGTGAAATTCTCATTCTCGACACAGTTTGTAGAATCATTAAGGTTGGAAATGACCTCTAAAAGCATCTGGTCTGACTCTCAGCCCATCATCACCATGCCCACTAACTGTATCTGTAAATGCTACATCTGCACGTTCCATGAACACCTCTAGTCACAGTGACTCTACCACCTCCCTGGGCAGCCTGTGCCAATACATCCCCACTCTTTCTGAGAATTATTCTTTCCTAGTGTCCAATCTGTACTTTCCCTTGTGCTCCAGACCCTTCACAGCTTTGTGGCTATTCCCTGGACATGCTCCAGAGCCTGTCTTTCCTGAAGTGAGGAGCTCAAAACTGAACACAGTACTCAAAGTGTGGCCTCACCAGAGGCCACCCCTCTGGTGAGATGATCACCAGATCACCCCTCTTCTCCTGCTGGCTGCACTACATCTGATACAAGCCAGGATGCCATTGGCCTCCTTGGGTACCTGGGCATACTGCTGGCTCATGCTCAGCCAGCTGACAGCTAACACCCCTGGATCCTTTTCCTCCATGCCACTTTCCAGCCACTCTGCCCCAAGCCTGAAAAAATGGATGGCACTTGTGTGATCTAAGTGAAGGACTCAGCCTGTGGGCTTGCTGAACCTCATAAAATTGGCCTCAGCCAGTTGCTCCAGCCTACACAGATCCCTTTATAGAGCCTTCCTACCCTCAGTTGGATCCTCACTTCCTCCCAACTTGGTGTTGCCTGCAAACTACTGAAGATGCACTCAATCCCCTCATCCAGATCATCAATGAAGATATTAAACAGGACCAGGCATTATACTGACTCCAGAACCTAAAGTAAAGGCTAAAAAATGGCAGTGAGAGTGTAACAGCCCAAACAGCAGGTGAGCTCTTGGCTGTTGTGAAGGCAGAGGAAGGCAGCACTGAGTAGTATTCAGCTAGGTGATGTTTCAAAAGAGATAAAAGATATTTTTATTGGGCAGGGAACTCGTGGATCATGTGTAGATAATACAGTTATGGAGACATGGAAAACTTCTCCAGAAACTTTCTGGGGATGAACTTCGTTTGTTTGTTTGTTTTTGTTTGTTTGTTTGTTTTGTTTTTTTTTTTTTTTTAAGTGAAGCGAGAACTCCACATTCCCCCCTTTTTTTTTTCCTTTTTTTTTTTTCCAGCTACATTTATCTTAATCACATCAATATCTTACTCATATTAAAAGTGTTCACCGTTTGCTAACCTCTAAAACCTACTGTTCTTTTTCCTTTTCTCTTACAGCATACATGTACCAATCAGCTTATTTTCTGAAAGACTATGTTGGCACCTGATTTCCATTACTCATAAAGATATTTATGGTGTATTTCTCAAGAATAAAGTCTATAAAAATATGTAACGGTGCCTACTGCTGGTAGAGGCAATACAGCTATGAAGTATTCTATGACGCTATCTTGCCATAGAGGGAAAAAAAAAGCATTATCTGTCACTGTCACACTGAAAAACTGTATTTCTATGTCATGACCTACTTGTGACAGGTTTCACTTACTAAATAACAAGATTCTGCAAAACAACACAAATTTCCCACTGATTAATGTCTTGCTTTCATAATAGCATGCTTATGTATTTGTTGTTTTGTTATTTGTGTTTTTTTGTTGTTGTTGTTGTTGTTTTTACCTAATGAATGTTCTTGCATGTGTCTTGCGTGTAGAAACTGGAATTTGTGATACTGATAACTAATTGCTCCTACCTAACAGTCCAAAATTTGGAAAAATTGACCAAACTTAATATTGGCAAAAGCTAGTAAAAACCCACTGGTTTCAGTGAAGTTTCTTATGCAAGTTCATTCCACAAATGAATTTGGTAACCATTTATTTTTTTCAAATGACTGTTTCACTGTACCAGCCAGATAACTGGAGTCAGTGCTGTGCAGCACCATGCTGGAAATAGTTTTGCAGGAGTGGGTTTTACCAACACTATGTATGAGTTATTATAGCAGTACTGCACAAGCCAGTTATCTTGTTTGAGGTCTGCAATCCCTGTCTGCATGTTGTGGCAAGCTTGGTTTGCTGTCTTGATGGGTTTGAGATAAGACCAGGAAAAAAACAGTCCCAGGATTCTTGATTATCGTGTGAGGTATACATTCCCTGTTTTCTATGGTTAGCTTAACAGAGAGAGAGCTGTGACAAATATTGAACTGAAGTATCAAGTTCCTAGGCTGAGATGGCCATGATGTTTCAGCACACTGTGTTCTGTAGCACTTGACCTGCTCAGAGCTAATGGGTGTAGTGAGTACCAGTTACTTCAGCATCTCACAAAGTACATACAGCTAGCAACCACCTCTGAAAAGTTCAGTTTAAGTTCAGTTTAATTTTCATAATCTCACATTGGAACAGCCTAAATTTAGGCAATTAGGCAGAAATTATATGCCTTAACCACAAGGTTGTTGTGTTTCTTCGTCTCATTTGCCAAAAATCTTTCCCAATCATCTTATATACTGCCTTTAGGGGTAGCAAATTCCATGGTTTGTGCTTTTGGTGTCCCACCACATGCTGCAGAAGGACTTACCTTGGGCCTCTCTCCTGTCTTCCAGTGGATATCACAAAAGTTATCACACCTTCACTACTGTCACCTGGACCCCTGGCAACCACTTGCTGTCAGCTGTGAGAAACTTGCTCAGCCAGAACAGAGCCTGCCTGTGCCTTCATATCACCATATTTGCTTGCCCAAAATGGTGGGACACCTCTCCTATCAACAGTGCATCGTCCTGTCACCAGGAACTATATAAATAATGCCAGTCTTGTACTGATTGTATTTTTAAGCCACTTTTTGTATCTAAATAAAAGATGATGGGTTTAAAGTTCAACTCGAAAGTGCTTTGCTGTTGTTTCAAGCAGGATTTCCCTGCCCCATTAGTTTGTTTTCTGCACCTGCTTGTTCAGTGGGATAGAACTGGTGCCACACACAACTGCCTTTGACCGAAGTACTAACTGCTCTCAAGAGCTGCCCTGTAAGAACCATGTACTGCAACCTAAGGGGACTCTAAACTATTGCCACTTTTTTTTTTTTTTTTTTGTACCTCATTATACCACCTCCCTTTCTTTGTCCTTTTCTGCCTGATATATTTATTTGCCTCTCCTTCCCTTACTGCTTCTTCCTTTTCTGACTGTGCTTCTTTCCCAGTTCCACCTTTGTCATTTTTCCTTCCCTCCGTTTCCCTCTAACATCTCTATTTCACTTGCCTCATTCCTGCCAAACACGTTGGCTTGTTTCTCCCTGTCTTTTCCTTTGTTAATTAGCGCGGTGTTCAGCTCCTGAAGGAAACTCTTTCACTCAACGGTGAAAAATCAAAGAAAGAGCAGTGGGTGCAGTGGTAACCTTGTTCTTTGAACTCCTACCACTAAACAGCAAAGCAAAGCTGACAGGAGCTGCTTCTCTTTTTCTTTCCCTGATTAATTAAGAGAAGAGAGGTAGTAAGAGGGAAAACAAGAGTGGACAGTGATAGCAAGGGAAGAGAGCAAGCAGGGAAGGACAGGGCATGAAGTCAGAGATAAGAAGGTAGAAATAGTAGACTACAATTAACAACACTTAATGCTGCAAAGGGAGTTGAGAAAAGCTACAGAACTATAGCAGACTTCTGAGGATGCTCACTTCACTTTGTGCTCTACTTTTTTTTCATGTAGACCACATCTCAAACCAGCCTTTCCATTGCCACACAGCCTCTCATCTCTGAGATGGCTCCTCTGTCCTGCATAAGCATTCCTTTGCTATCTACAAACTTGATTGATAATGTACGCTTATGGTATCAGTCACCTAGACCCCTGGAGTTTCAACAAAATGAGTATCAGATTTCTGTTACATTATGGAAGCATTACTTTTGGAGCAACCTGCATATAATAAAGTGAATAATAGGATTCTTGCAGTTTCAAGTCTACTAAAACTGTGGAGAGATGCAGCTGAATGCTTCTGCTCCTTCAAGAAATACATGAGAGCACATTATTGAAGGCAGAATTTCCTAACCCAAGACGAATTTGGAATATTCTGAAGTTAAAGGCTTTCTCATGTTCACATAACCTGCAGCCAAGATAAGTTCCTGAATATTTTTAGACATGAGTTTCTTTTTAATCTTCAGTAGAACTTGCTGATGTAGGAAATGTGCATGGTCACATGTTTCATCATCAGTAGGAAATAGGAAATCTATAGGAATAGGAATCAACAGGAAAATCTAATGGAGCACTGTCTTTATTGGTTATTTATTTATTTATGCATCTATTGATAATAATCACATCAGTTAAGCAGAAACACACAAAGTCTTCATCTGTCATTTGGTGAGATGGATGTAGCATTGAAATTGATGGCATATTTTCACACTGCAGGTACAAAAGTGTGAAGTTCACTAAATACAAACAGAGCAAATCCATTTAGAAGTACAAACAGTCCTGTAAAATCAAGGTTTTTAAGATGTACAAATGGCAAATGTGCAGTACTTAACTTTTCTTCTGAAGATCATCTTTAAGAACAATATTGTTGGCACTGTTGAG